GGCTTTTTGTAACGGTCAGGTTGCCATTTAGAATAAATGGCTACGCGGTCTATACAAATTCCAGCAGGACAGTTCAGAATAATCGAAAGCAATCCTACAAAGATTCAACAGCACCAAAAAGTCTGGGTGAATTCCCTGGCTGTCGTCCCAATGAACTTTAAAAACGTAAAATCAGTACTATCATTCGTATTCAAGGTTCGTAAGGAAACTAGCAAGTGCCAAACGATTTGGCCAGCAGAATAAAATCGCTAGATCTGAACTAGCTAAACATGTGTTAGTGGGCGACGATATAGGCTCCTTTGACGTGTTTGTATCCTATAAGACTCCTTCGTCCAATTATTTCGCCGATGAAAAACCACATAAGGACTTCAATCGCGACGACAGAATCCAGTGCAACATCCTATTGTGGTAATGGAAAGAACATGAAGTACAAACCTTGATCTTCTTCTGGAGAATGGCACCAGACCTTAAGTAGGCCACAAGCGACTTGCCTTCGTTTACAGCTAGTGTAATTTCATGCTTGTTTGGGGGTCGCATTTCGACACGGGCATACTGCATAAACTTAGTGCTGACTGGCTTTATCTTCTCTGCACTAAAACGATAAATGCCTTTCACAGCGTAAATACAGCAAAGCGGGAACTTACACATAGCATATTTAGGCGAGTTTTCCACGAATAACTTCACAACCTTGGACATTTTCGAAAAACCCGCCTACTAAAAGAGCCAGGTCAAACAATATGCAACACACGTTTCACTGTTTCAGTATTGGAGTAAAATTATTTAAGAAGCCGCAGATTCGTCACTTAGTAAAAGCGCATATGTTGATATTCTCGATCATGTAAACTCCGATGTGTTGACTAAGGCATGCAGCCGAGATCTGCAGCTAGTTTTACATTGTCGAGCGCAGTGTGGAGGAAGAGTACTCAAGAAATGCGCAATACCCAAAAATCAAAGAGTTTACGCGGGGAATGCGACACCACAGTATTTAAAAAAGTAAAGGAGAGGTATTTGCAAAGCAGAGATCAGTGGATATATAACAAGGGACAACACGTTACTTGAAACAAGCGTGAAGTCGCCTACAATTGTGTAAACGACTTCTTTGAAATGTTTGGCAGTGCCGATGCATTTTTAAATACTATGTACCAATAGGGAGTTCAAAGGCGTTTGCCTTTATTTCCTTTAATAAATTTGACTTGACTTACCACAGCGTTTTGGAATTTTCTAGTCTCCTTACGAAACTTGAATACGGACGATAGTTCTGATTTTACGTGTTTCAAGGAATTCACCCAAATGTTTTTGATGTTGTTAGTTTTTCAAGGGTTGTTGCACTGCTTGATTTTTTATAAACCATGCAGCTTTCGGTAGCTTTTACGCTAATTGGGTACCTGGTTGTTTCAAAAAGGCCGATTTAACAGATCTGACTGAATTTCAACTCCACAAGTCGGACGACAATGCTATCGTTCGAATAAATAAGTACTTGCCCGTCTGCTATCAGCTATTTAATCATTCGTATATTTCTATGACCCTGCTGAACATGGTGGGTTCTCTTGCTAAACAGGCTGCTATTTAAGCTATGTAAAAATTCCAAGTTCCTTTTGGGAACGTATGTTTCGTGGAATCCACTCCCTCGTATTATTTCTGTCCCAAATTGTCTAAGCGTATTAGCAATTCTTATTTCTAAGTTGAGGCATATGTCCTATATAAACAAACCGAATCATTTGGGACACTACACATCGACGACGTGTTTAAATGGTACATTGGTAAATTGTGCAAAAGACAGTTAGTTGATAACTTTGATAAATTCAATCGATCAAATAGCTTGCAGTGAACTGCACGAAATGATCGAGTTCCTGTAGCGCGCATAGTTATGTGCAGTAATTTGTTACGGTAAATTTCGTAGCAATCTAGAATAAGCTACCCAGAAATATTAAAATTCAGCGAAAAATGTTTTCTACATTTAGAACACCTTTCACGAATTGTCGGTTCTGACTCAGTGGAATCCCTCTTCCACTCTGATGACGTTCATAGATAGTCATGTGCTTGGTTTCATGCAGAGGGAAATGGTGCTGTCCGACTGCAACCTACGGCGACCAACCGTTCGCCAACGCAACGTTATTTCGTGACGAATGCCAAATACACAACACCGAAGAGTAACTGGCCGCAGTGTGCACCTCTGTCAATCTTCACCCGATGGTCTGTAGGCATCCCTTGCTGACCAATAGGAGTAAATGTTGGCCGATTTTGTTCTTTCTTTAAACTTTTTATATATATTTTTAATTCAGGAAAACAATTACAAGCGCCTGTACTTTGTTTCCTGCTGTGCAATTATCACGAAATATACACGCATTAACATCGCCTTAACATCGCCTTAAACAAGCATTATAATTTTAAACACGATCTTTTGAAGTCAAAGGCCAAGTCGCTCCAGCTTTCACCCAGCGCTCTTGAAGCATTTGAGGCAGCCAAGAAAGCACCCGCGGATGCCACCCTGCTTCACCATCTGAGCGCTGCTGCTGATACCCAGCTAATTCTGACCACAGATGCCTCCCAAATTGCCGTCGGCGCAGTTCTGCAGCAACAGGTCCATGACCAGTTGCAGCCGC